CCAACTATCTGTTCAGTATGCCAGCCACAAGCTCAGAAGTACAAAAAAATACTTACTTTCTGACTTGATGGCTCCCACTGCCCCTTTGGGGTCTATAATTCTCTGGAACAACTCAGAGAATTCATGGAGAGTATAGCATCCTTACAATCACAGATTTATTATAAGTCACAAAGGACATAAATGAAGAGAGATGTAAGGCAATGTCCAGCAGAGTCACCAGAATGATGCTTCTGTATTCCAAGTGACAAATTATCCTTGTAAGAGAAGGTCTTCTCATCAACCAGGATGCTCTCTGAAGGGCTATGTTGTTATGGGCTGTCAAGTTGGTTCCAACTCATAGATCCTAAGTACAACAGAATGAAACACTGCTTGATCCTGCATTATTCTCAAAATCTGTGCTATTATTGAACCCATCATTGCAGTTGCCATTGTGTCAATCCATGTTGAGGGTCTTTCCCTTCTTTGCTGACCTGCTACTTTACCAAGCATGATTTCCTTCTCCAGGGAATTGTCAATTCTGTCAACATCACCAATATAGGTGAGATAAAGTCTGCCTATTCACACATGTAAGGACCACTGTGGCTGTAGCTCTTCCAAGACAGATTTGTTCGTTCTTCTGGCAGTTCATAGTTCTTTCAGTATTCTCCAATACAACAATTCAAAGGCATCAACTCTTCTATGGTCTTCCTTATTCAATATCTAGCTTGCACATGAGTATGAGGCAATTGAAAATACCATGATTTGTGTCAGGCTCACTTTAGCCATCAAAGTGATATCCTTGCTTCATAAAACTTTTAAGTGGTCTTTGTAGCAAATTTGCCCAATGCAATATGACATCTAATTTCCTGACCGCTGCTTCCATTGGTGTTTATTGTGGATCCAGATAAAATGAAATCCCTGACAACTTCAATCATTTCTCCTTCACCCATGATGTTGCTTATTGGACCAATTGTGAGGATTTTAATTGTCATTATGTGGAGATATACTCCATACTGAAGACTGTAGTCTTTGCTCTTCATCAGTAATTGCTTCAAATTATCTTCACTTTCAGCAAGCAAGGTTGTGTCATCTGCATATGGCAGGTTGTTAATGAGTCTTCCTCCAATCCTGATGCTGCATTCTTCCTCACATAGTCCAGTTTCCCAGGTTATTTGCTCAGCATACAGATTGAATAAGTATGGTGGAAAGACATAACTCAGATGCACAGCCTTCATGATTTTAAACCATGCAATATCCCCTTGTTAGGTCTGAACAACAGCCTCCTGGTCTTTCTTATAGGTTCTTCTTCAATGTTCTGGAATTCCCATTCTTCATAATGTTATCCATAATTTATTATGAACCAAACAGTTGAATGCCTTTGAATAGTCAGTAAAACAAGGTAAACATCTTTCTGGTATTCTTTGCTTTCAGCTAAGATCCATCTGACATCAACAATGGTACCCCTCATTCCACAACCTCTTCTGAATCCAGCTTCCATTTCTGGAAGTCCCCTGTGCCTGAGGAATTTGACTGCTAACCAGAACCTGGCAGTTTAAGTCCCCCAGCCACACCTTGGAAGGGAGATGGGGTAATCTACTTCTGTAGTGATACAGCCTTGGGAACCCAAGGAGAGGTTGCTATGAGTCGGATCCAACTCAATGACAGTGAGTTTTTTTTTGTTTGTGCAGTCATTTTTGAATTATCTTCAGGAAGATTTAGCCTGTGTGATATCAATGTATTGCTTGATAATTTCCACATTCTGTTGGGTCATCTTTCTTTG